TTCATTTTTTAATTTTTTTTTTTTTTTTTTTTTTTTTTTTTTAATCTGTCCAGCACAGGACTGGTTCATCTTTTGAGCCTTGAATTTTTTTTTTATTTTTTTTTTTACATATGAACGATTTGAGTAAAAAAAAAATGTGTTCTGTAATTAATCAGATATTGTTTTTAAAAATGATTTATTCAAAGGAGAAACGAAGCTCTTGAGATAGTTTGAGAAAATATTGCTTAAGACGACTAAAACAAGTTCCAACGTGTTCGGCCAGTGCTGTTAGTGGGAGGAAAATGCCTCCCAACTAAAATCCAGAGCAACCTTTTCCTTCAGGATGTGCCTAATAAATTATTCCACTCTGTGTGTAATTTAATATCAGTACAAATACAGCTGTTCTATGATCAAACGGCATCATGAAGACCAAGGAGCACATCCGGTTCAAGTGGTACAAATAATTTTTCACAGTGTGGTTTGTATCAGTCTCATGATGTCAGGTTGATTTAGTTTCTCTTGTGAGCATGCTGAAGTTGGAAGTCTGTTCAAAGTATTTTCATAAAATTAATGTTTAAAAAAAACAACTGCAAGTAAGTGATCCACTTTTCCTACAGAAAGGCCAAATCTGGTTGAAGAGGTCATTAAACAATTTTGCTGGTTTGAAGAACAAAAATAATTCATGAAGTAAAAAAAAAAAAAGCACTTTTTTCCCCCTAATATTAACGATTGTGTCCTTTAAAATAAAAAAATATGTTGGCAAAATGTGTAGCCAGATACCACCGTTGGTGTAACAACAGGAGCAGGTCGACAACAGCGACGTCCATAGAAGAGCCGGTTGGGAACGAGAAGTTTGACAATTTAACATGTTGATATATAGTCATGTTGAGGGAATTGTGTATAAAAATATTGAAATGATAAACTTAGAGCAGTAGATCAGCAAAAACTGTGTGTGTTAGAATGGGGGGGGGGGGGGGGGGTCTTTGTGTTTGGCCTGTAGGTCAAATATGCTCAAACTTCCTCTTGGTTTTTAGCTTTGTTGACACTGAGTCGGGGCTTAATTTGAGCCGGAACATGATCAGGGAACTCTTATTTTGACAGGGTGCATTCCAGTAACTGCTTGGAGCCGGTAACTCTCAGGCTTACTAATAATAAAGTTATGAATGAATAGGACTGCCTTGAACAAATAAAACATACTGGAAATATAAACTGAAAATAATTACATAAACACTCATTTTAAACACAACAGCCAGAGTAGGCCCACAAGATGGCGCCATCCCTACATTTTTTTTTTTTTTTTCATTTAGCCTTTATTTATCCAGGTAGTCTCATTGAGCCAGGAGAACTCATTTTCAAGAGAGACCTGTTTAGGGAGCAGATGGTGGGGGTTAAGGGCCATGCTCAGGGGCCCAGGGTGCGGCGAATGAGGGTGGAGGGAGGTGTGAGTGTTTCACCTTTTCCACCCACATTTTGATGTTGACGGTACCGGGAGATGAAACTGCGACTTTTCGATCACAAGCCCATCTTCTAACCTCTGCACCACCACTCCCCCTAGGTAGACATATAGGCTGAACAGCTTCTGCTGCTTGAACGCACCATTTCCACAAGGACACCCCCCCACCCACCCACACACACACACATCAAATCTGGTTTGTGCACTGCAGCCTCCTCTGAGATGAGGGCAGTTTGACTGCAGACACACCGACTTCACCCTCCCACTTGTTGGTCATTTTAATAAATATAGATCTGTGGAAGTCACAGCCTCCTCATAACAACCCATTACAATACATCAAAATGCAGAAAATCATATCTATTCAAAATGTTTTGGGGGAGGAGACCTCCATGCAGAATCACCCCCAGCCTGCTCACTATTTGCGTTCCTGTAGCAATCGGTTTACAAATTAAGCCCCTGCATTTAGTGTGTACCCATGTTCATGTTTAGAATTGTATCAGTAGATCTGGAAAATCTATTCCTGGATCAACTATTTGATCAAAATGTTTGACCTTGTTGGGACGAAGATGATGTTGTCACAATTGGACATTTAAGTCAGAAATTACCCAAATGAGCCAAATCAACCTCTGCTTTAGGCTGGAAAACAAACTCGCCAGCACACATTTGCCCGGTTGGCTTGAACATCTTGAGTTTTCACTAAACGGTGAGTTTGGGTTTTCTAAAATAGCATTAGTGCTAACAAAATCAGTCATTTTAATCCAATTTTCCCATAACCCAATCCGCTGAGTTAAAACTTCAGGGTTGGCTCAGCTCATATTTGGTTTTAAACCAAGCAGATTTTAGTATATTTGATATAATACTTGTACAGTTAGTACTTTGGAGTCCGGCTATAGTGCTCAGTCAAACCATGGGGGCACAAAAAGGTCAAATATTCATAAGCATTCATGAGACCCCTCATCCATCCTGCGTGCGAGCTGCTAAAACCCCAGTTCTCAACCCACTAACACTCAGAGAAATATATTTTAAGAAATAAATTCAGTATTTGACTGAACATGAAGGTTGCTGTCTGTTCTTGACAGCCTGTGTGTGTGTGTGTGTGTGTGTGTGTGTGGGGGGGGGGGGGGGGGGG